CAGCTTTACGTATTTTACCAAAGATAATGACATTAAATAATATATTGCTTATATTTTAACCTTCGTACAAAATTTAGCAATGTATAAAATCATTTATTGTTTATTTATTTTTTAGTTCGTATAAACTGTGAAGCATGCTGTGCCATGCCAATCCTTCCAAAGATTTTTTAAAATCAGGGTAATGTTTACAATCCGGAGTACAATTTGGTGTAAACTGACACGGACAAATATAAACTCCTTTGTTTATTTTCTGCAAGGCATCGTATAAACCTAGGAAAAATTAAAAAAAGGTTACGAATAAATACTTAAATCGTTTCTAAAAATTATTTAATTTTCTTATAACCAAATGGGTAAGACCGTTTTCCATCAATGAAAACACGTTTTTTTAAGACAATTTCACACGTTTTATCTTTGATACGTGTTAGTTTTTCTTATCAGAGAGTTTCGTGTAATTATAACGTTATTTTTATTTTCTTTATTCTCATAATCGCTATTATCGTAGGCAATCGTATCAAAATTAAGTTTTAACGTATTTTGGTACTTGATACGAATACCTCTTACTTTACATATGTCATGCGTCTCACCGGTTGGGACACGTACGCGATAACCATAAAACTTTGGTCCTCCGGACACAAAAGTTTCTATAAAAGAACCCTCTCCATACTCCTCCAACTCGTCTGTTAGTTGGACTAGTAACGATCCTGTGGGCGGATTATATTCCTCGGGATCTTTAGTGCCAGTTACAAAAATAATCGAATCAGTGTCGTAATATAACACTCTTTCGCCTAAATTTTCTGAATAGGAATACAATTTTAATCGTGCTTGAGCTGTGGTGTAAGCAGCTATAGCTACATTTGTACAGGGGGACAAAAGTGCCGCTTCGTCCTTGTACCTCCATGTGCCGTACATAACATTATCGTTTGCCGGAAGACAATGTTCAACGTGAATTTCTTTATCAAATAACAGCTTTAATAAGGATTTGTAATCATTTGTTATGGTCGTTCTTGGAAGATTTCCGCGTTGACCAAATTTACCTCGAAAACTATTTAAACACAACTTGGCTACAGATCGCAAGCCGGCATTTTTTGAAATATTATTTTTATCTAGTTTTATTTTTTCTGTGTNGTAATAGTTTACTATGGTCGTTTTTTGAAGATTTCCGCGTTGACCAAATTTACCCCAAAAACATTTTAAACAGTACTTGGCTACAGATCGCAAGCCGGCGTTTTTTGAAATACTATTTCTATCCAGTCTCATTTTTTCTGTGTTTTCGTTATGAATAATATAATTATTTTTTTCTGTTTCTGTTTTTTTTATTGGTAGGCCAACCGCTTGCCTCTTGTTTGATTTTTAAAAAAGTATCTATATATTCGGTAAACAGACCACCACTCCGCGAAACAGGGTCATACTGAGCAGTTTCGTACTGCCAAATTACATCAATTCGAATAAGTGTGTACCCTAATTTTAAAGCTTTTTTTATTTCATCGGAAACCCAAGTTCCTTTCAACATCCGCTCATTTACGTCGTGAGAACATTCATCCTCGCATACTTTCTCCGTACACGTCCTGCATAGACTAAAAAGTAGTTTCCCATGCATTTTTGTGGGAAGTACGGGATGAAACAGATTTAGCGGCGGTAAGATCGCTTATTTAACCAAACCCTTGACGTTATCGTTAAAACTTTCGTAATTAACTCCTGTTAAAATGAAACAATCAGCCGCATTATAAATTTTAGGATGTTTTAAAGGAAACTTTCCTGTCTTACATATGTATGGGTATAAGGAACATACGTCCAATTAATTTATTTTTTGATTTTCTTGAGCGTCATAACGCGTAACAGTATTCCCCGTACGGCCCCCATAAGAAGCGTTTCTTGAATTTACGATATTATTTTGAGCAATCGGGTAGTTTTTGACAAAATAAAAAATTTCTTGATTTTTTTCCAAATATCGGTTGAAATCACATTCCCACATCTCAATTACAGTGTAGCCATATTCTTTTATTCTCGAGGTCATTTTAAGTGTATTTTCAAATCGCTCCGAATAACTTTCGAAATTTGTTAGTTTCTTTGTTCGCTCACCGGGGTAACAACGCGGACACCCGTGAAAATAACAACCGTGAAATTGAAAAACCGTACTCTTTGAATTATTTTCTCCAGCTACAGTTTTAAAAAACCATCGACTACTGGTCCTTCTATTAGTCGATATTCCAATAAACGTTCTGCATGGATTATTTCGATATTTCTAATTTTTTCCTCACAAAATAACCATTTAATCGATTTTTCTGAAAATTGACCTGAGCGTGTATTTCCATTTTCTGAAACAATGCCTATTGTATCATTAAAAAAAAAAATTTTTTCAAATACAACTGAGCAAGCGCTTGCAATCGTTACGCTTTCTACAAAAAATCAACGTTTCCGATTTTTAGAAAGATTTTTCTAAAAGCTATACACGTCTGACGCAATATTTTAACATCTTGAACGCAATAATCTACTAAATCCATCTGCATATTGAATTCTTTTTTTTCCTTGATAATTTGGTCATACCAACGTACAAACTCTTGACGTTCTTTTGAACTCATTGAGTCTGGTGAAAAAAATTCAATCACCGGATAAGGTCCTTTGTAATTAACATTCTCTTTGCTCGTAAAAAGATGGGGAAAATACCCTTTTTTTAAATTATCCGTCAAGTTAAAGGTTTTCGATAATTCTGCTAATTTCATTGGTAAATAATTAAGGTCATCGATGAATTTGGTTTTTCCAATGCTCATTTGAATGATATTTCGTCCGTTTAAAATGATGTTGGGCGTTTTGTTTTCAGAAATAAGATGTTTTAAAATAAATTGAGCGTCAAACGATTTTGCGTTGTGTGCTATACATATTAAAGAAGAAAACGTTTCACTTTTTTCTCATACAGCAAAGTTGAAAAACATTTTTAAACATTCCTCACCCCGAAAAATTATTTCTTTTACACCACAAAATTCACAAATGGATGATTCTGAATCTATACAGTCATCACATCGAATTTGAGCTACACATAAAATCAGTACATGTATGCGTATTTTTAACGTATCGTCCACAGTTTCATCCTGACGTGTCTCAAAATCATGAAAAATGAAGCAATTTTTTTTCTTGTAATGTTTCTCTTTTACAGCTTGAATCATACACAATTCTTTTAAATCATGTATCGTTTTACACTGTCCGCAGTATTTTTTTTCACACTCGTGTTTTCCTTTTGCTAGGTTATAAAACTTTGCACAAAAGCTACACATTTTTAAGGTATCGCATACAGATCTTTTGACTGCCCAATGTGTTTTTCTTCGTGCATATGACCCTAACTTTTATAAGAACTTGCATAAGAAATTACATAAGATCTTATGTAAATTCTTGGTTGATAAGCAAATGCAAGTTCGTGTACAAGTTCTGACACAAGTTCTATTAAACGAACTTATAAGAAAACTTACATAAGATGTTACATAAGAAATTACATAAGAAATTACGCAAGAACTTGTGTAAGACCTTATGACGAATTTCCAGCTGGAAACAAATTTTTTTATTAAACAATGACCACCCTTATGTGCTTGTAAGAATATTAAAATGTATACCATCTGTGTAACGGAGCGTAAGTTTTGATGGTATGTCAAAGATTTATTTTCATTATTTGAAACCACAAGTTGCTGTTGCTCTAGCTCTTCTTCTAAATCTGTAGAAATATATGCATTTTATTACTAATGTTTAATTTATCTNATAGATTGTAAAAACAACGGCAACGTTTCTGAATGTGGTATTCCAACAGAAGTAGTACAGAAGGTATGCCGTATATTTATTACTTAAAATTTAAAAATAATAATTGTAATTAATACTGACTGTTTTGCTTAATTTATCATGAAATTTTAGAAAAAAAAGTCCAAAAAACGCAGAATCGATGACAATCTAGTCACTGATGAAAGATGAGAAAAGGCATCCTATCATTCAATCGAATATTGACCAGAATAATGTCGATAAATCATCAAGCGACTCTTTACTATTAAACATCGACGTTGATGAATGTGTTGATGCTTCGATCATACGCGAAATTCTACAGCTGGAAAATGAGAGTAATCCGGAAAATAAGGAAAAAAATGATTTGAAGAAAAATATCACAACTGAAGGAGAGGAGCTACTTAATAATGCTGATGACTCGATGCTGAATGATCAACAACGTTTGTTCAGTGCGGAAAACGATACCACAACAACAGAGAACGCAAAACTTGCCCACGCTTCTAATGAAATAAAGAGCAATAAAACAAATGTAAGTTTTTAGTTATTGCAGTTGTAGTAAAATGACTTGTTATTAGTATAAATCATATATCTAAAAAGTTTGATGGCCTTAAAGTGAAGCCTCCATAACATTGGCTAGTGCCTGGTCACATGATCAAGTGAGCAGGAATTTTGAAAATTTGATTTTGAAAAATAAATAAAAAGTATTTTAAATTATTAAAAATTAAATACATATATTATGAAGAACCTGTGTTTTAACCCTTTTTTAAAAAATTACGAAAATAAATATTGATTAAATGTCGGGGGTTGGCATGCATAACGCGCAGTCGGCGGGATCCCCTAGTATTAGTATACTGTTTATTAATAAAAATATTGAGTTAAAAATGTTTAATGTAGAAAAAAAAGAAAAAGGATAAATTACACTCGTATAAGAACAGAAAGAGTGGTATCGATTATAAGAAACTGTACCTTGACCAAAAAATGAAAATGGAATTATATAAAAAAAATCAGTGACCAAGAAGAGGAACTAAAAATATTAAGAAAGCAACATGTTAAATTGGTGGACAAAATCTTAAGTAAAATTGATAAATGCGGTTTGTTTCATTAATGTAGACATTCTGTATTGTATTATTGTTTCGACACATTTGTATTACCTCGTATTACTTTCCGCAGCATCGAGAGAAGTTAATGTATTTTCTACCAAAAACTTGAGTGACTTGCCGACAGGATATATAAACAAGGAGACTAAAAAGGTATGAAATAAGGAAATAAGCAAATAATTCTTTGCGTTTGTTCAATTAACTTTTGTTCAACTTTTGCGAGAAACGACTTTTTATCTTCTTTAAAACACTTCCATAACTCATTCATATTTCTTTATATTTTTTCTTTCGATAAATGACTAGCATGTCAATTGCGATAACCCTCGAAAAGCTTCGTGTAATACGATATTATTATTAACTAAATAAAGTAGTCCCTTAATATACGTACTAGATGCACTCGCGTGACTAGAAATTGTAGTATCAACTTGCCGGGACCTGTCAAAGTGACAGCGATACTAAACGAAGAACTTCAATGTATGGTAGGTTAGGTTAGAGTACAAGATATGCACTATAGGCTGTATTCCGCAAAGGCTGCCAGCAGTTGAATTCACGTGAGTGCAAGAGAGACAACATTGGATGTAACTGCTGGTAGCTTTTGCGGAATGCAACCTATACATTATGTGGAGACGTTAGAAGGTTGGCTCACCTACTTTAGTTAAAAATCGGGAGTGCCGAAAATACAAAAATCTTTGTGATTTTTGAAATATAAGACGACGTTGCTCAAGCGTCCACTCCCCACCCCCCCGTCCCCTCACATGGCTTAGCATGGCTTTTTTGCAGACTCCCCCCACCCTTCCCCTTACAGAGCCATGTGGTTTATGTACAGCCCCTAATGTATTATTTAGTATAGGAAATCAAGTACAACTGGTACTTAAAGATAATAAATATGTTTTGTTATATATACTTGTAGATCCACTGCGGGAATAATTTGTACATGTGTCTGGATCGTTATCATGAGGCAGTAAATAAAGCTTGTAGTGCTAAGCCACCTAATCAAAGTTCCCAATTTGTGAAAAATATTGCCTGTGCAATAATTGGCACAGAAAACCTAAAATTATCAAGCGTTAGAGGCAGAAAATGCAATCGGTTCAAGGGTGCGGTGGCAAAACCAAAGATTGATCCAACGCAGCTGTCATCAGTGCATGGTAAGAAATATGGAAATGCAATATCTATTTAAATTTTTAATGAATAATGAAACACTAGTATCTCTGAGCATGAGTTTTTAATAACTTGAAATTACAATTAAATCATATTTACATTTTGTAAAAGTAAGATTTTTGCTTTACTGCAAATGTATTCGCAACACAAATGCATTCGCAAGAATCTAAATAACACTCTACATTAAAATAAAGTGAGATTTAAAATCAGAAAGTTTGCTACTGTTGTCACTGTGTCTATACATATTAGTATAAGTATAGCATAATTATAATTTGTTTTACAGAAATATTCAAATTCTTTTTGAAAGACGTGAAGAAGATGGATAGCGTAGAAATAGAATTAGAAGATTCTCAAACTGATTCATACATAGCGAGTAAGATTCAGGATTTGAATCGAAAGCCACGAGTAAAAGTTAATAAACAAAAATCACAACAAAAATCTGATGCTGATAATAGTGTAGCAGAAAGTACTATCAACAGGAAAACCGACGTGGTTGGAACTGAGAAAGAAAATCATAAAAGCTCTTCTTCTGAAGAATCCAGTGAATCAAGTAGCTCAGACGAAGATACTGGCACTTAAGAATCCGAAAATGATGGAAGTAAGTGAAGTTCTGCAAAATTTATCCGAGTATGCACACTACTGCTCCTTTTAATATGTTTGAACCTCATAAAGTAGTAACGTAGTCTTAGGTATTGTCGAGGTAAGCCTCTAAGAACAAAACAAGATCTTCCACGACTTTTTTCAAAAAGGGGTGGTACCCAAATTCCGTGGACAGGGGGGGGGGGTTGGTTGAATCGTACGCATGTTTATGCTGAGGGGAGGGGGGCAGCTAAGAAGTTTACGTGTTACAAACACTCTTGTCATATTCTGAAATATTAGTTTTTAAATTACTTTTACCTAATAGTTGGCGAACAAAAATTTTTTATTGTATCTAAAGTCACTTCTTTGTAAATCCCAATATGATGTTTGTTGATAAAGGGATTCTTCGGCATCATTGCTTAATATGCTTTTATTTAGCGCTGCTAAGAATATAAAATTTAAAATTTCAAGAGAACCCCTGAAAAATCCGGTAAATGCCTCAGTAGGACGTTGAGGTCAAACGTAACGATATTTCCTGATGGTGGCGCTGTTTTGGAACTGCGCCCGAGGCAAATGTCTGTGCACCAAACTAAGTACTACCATTAAAAATATAACTGAGTATAATTTCGACAATTTTTTTTTTACTTATATACGTATAAACTCGTTGCTAATTTACAAATGTAAGCAAAATTGTGCTAGGATGAGCAGTAGTCAACAGAATAAATTATCCATGCACATTGAAATACTTATTTACATACTACACATTTTCAGAAAGAAAATAAAGAAAACTCTGATTCAAGTAATGTTTGTGACGATGGACATAAGAATATAGATTGTAAAAACAACGGCAACGTTTCTGAATGTGGTATTCCAACAGAAGTAGTACAGAAGGTATGCCGTATATTTATTACTTAAAATTTAAAAATAATAATTGTAATTAATACTGACTGTTTTGCTTAATTTATCATGAAATTTTAGAAAAAAAANAGTTCTGACATAAGTTCTATTTAAAGAACTTATATCAGAACTTACATTCGAACATATGTAAGAAATTACATAAGAAGTTACATAAGAAATTACATAAGAAGTTACATAAGAAATTACATAAGAACTTATGTAAGAACTTATGACAAATTTTTAGCTGGGATAACGTCCCAATTTTAGTTTTAAGTTTTATATAAGGTACGTCATGGATAATTTAAAATATTTTGAGAAAATCACATTTTTTAATGTTATGAAACATTTATAAAGTTTAAGTAATAGACCAAGCCCTAACTTGGCAGGAGTAATAACTATTTATGTAGGAAGACATCAGAAGTCAAACGAACAACATACGATCTGATTTATGACATACCTAGAATAAATGCTGTTAAAATGAAATTTAAACCAACCTTTGATATAATTATGCACGGCAACTCTTTTTTTGTGTAGATATGTTTGATTCCGTGGTTTTGGGCACTCAGTGCGCTTGCACTGAAAGAATTTGGGTGTAGGATATCTCTAACCTTGGAACTGCCTGAGCTCAATAAATCTCTTACTTTTAAAATTTCATAATACGACGGACATCAATTTAAACTTGGTAATATAACAAGTAAAAGCAGAGATTAGAAGGGAGATTGCCAGCGCCTATGGAAGAGAGTGTGTCGCTTTTTTACCACTAATTTGAGCGCCCCGTCGCGGCAGACCAGTCGAACTATACGCACGTTTACAGCAGCGGAGGGGAAGATCAAACGTGCGTACGATAGGTACCTAGTAGAAGGGCAAGGAATATGTGCGTACACATGTGTATAACTATATACGTTTTGGCTGCCTCCTGCCTGAGCTCCCGAGTCGAGTCCCTCGGCTCTCGGCTATTGCTGCAGCTCTCGCATGCACGTATACACCTATATATGTTTCCGATGCGCTGTATTCCCTCAAAAAAGATTTTGTTGTGAATGTTGGACAGTGACGTATGTTATTATGTCCGGTAATAAATTACTCGTTAAATAGGTCAGTATTAAAAATATTTGTACAGCTAAATATCGTTTAATACTGAGTTTTTTCTCGTTTAAAGTGACAAATCGAGTAACGATTACGTAAGTCCCGATATTTAATGTAAGTTCTCGGAACTTCTCAATAAAATTATTATTTTTACAACTCGCATAATGTATGTTATTATAGGTACACAAAAAAAAAATTGTGCATGATGTATAAATACGACGTACCGTAACGTTGGAAATTATTAATTCTTTAATAAATATTTGCTTATTAAAATTTTTTCAATTAAATAAGAGCTCTTTGCTTTTATCTTAACGTTTATTTAGCAATAAAAGACTTTTCTAGAATTAAAATGTCGTTCTTCGATAGATGTAACATTTTCAATAAGAATAAGTATTTATTAAAATGTTCAGAAAAGTATTAGTTCTGCTTTAAAGTAGTTATATTTTAACTCAATTACCAATAGAGAAAAAAACTTCAACTCAAACCTTGGAGCTTCATTATAAACCTATGTCACTTTATGCACCCGTGAGACCAATGTGCTAGTAGTCGAGGCAGCTAAGTACTCTGCCATACCTATCTACTATAATCACTCCCGGGTTCAAATCTCCGGCGGGGTAAATTTTTTTTTTTACATTTGGTTTTTTTTTCCCTTTTATTTACTTAGTGTAAAATTTTTTTAATAATTCTATTTTATTTTCATGTTTACGTTGCGTAACGAATACTCTTAGTTTATTCATTCGTGGGGGGATTTTTTAAAATTTAAAGTATTTTTTGTAACAATATAATGCTAATAACGAGGCACATGTTTATTAACATTTCATCCTCGTTCAGATGGCTATGCAACTATTATTGGTATATTTAAAAATTATTCAAATAACTCAAGTTATTTCACGCTGGATTGACAAAGTGCTATTATTAACACTTTAAAAGAGGATCACATCTTTTATAACCTAATTAACGTATTCGTTCAATAATATATAATTGGTCAATAATATTTTCCCCTTACGTACATATATTCATCTTAAACATTTATGAATTAGCATAAAAACTTCAATTTTAAAAAAAATACCTTTTATTCTTCGTTACTCCAACGTCAGCCAAGCTTTACTATCACAAGTAGTTTTTCCGATTTTCTAATTTTATTCCTGAAATATTTCAAACTCAGGAGTCATCCTACAACTGTACATATGTATGCGGAATTTGTAATTTTGTTAAGTACTAGCGTGGTTACAGTATGGCTACCGGCGAGGTGTTCCACGATTTTTACTTTAAACATTTATTTAGAAAGAAAAAAAAATACTTACTTTCATAAGTAGTATTCTGGCGCGTGGTAAATAAATGAATTTATATTTGTTATTTGTATATAGGTTTGAAGTAAGAAAAAAAAAACACAACGCACCGAGCAAGTTGTTTCGAGAAGAAAAAAGTTTCATTAAATAAGAATGTTTACAAGTAAAATTATGTCAACGAACGTTCTTATGTATTAGTTATCTTTTGTGTTATCTTCTACATAAAAATAAAATAGTAAGTATCACTTCTTCAAACAACGCTTAATAACAGTCCCTCCTGGATGGTGTGGAAATCTGTTTGAAAAAAAAAAAAAAAAAATTTATTAAACTAGTCTTTTGCCAAAATATTGTTTTCAACCACTATGCTTACAATAATCTTTATCAGCGGATAAACTTACATATAATTAACAAAAAAGTGTTATCTTTTAGTTCCAAGTGACAGTTAAACAGTAAAAAATTAATACGGTCAATAATGTTTTGATGCATAACTTTCACTGTAATTTGGTACTTAACATAGTTTATATGATACCTCTTTTTACTAAAATAAATCTTATACTTAACATTTGCATATTTGTAAGTTGATGAAATATGTGATAAACAAGTAAGTATTTATTACGGATCGTATATATTAAACGTCAATAAATACTATAGTCCAAAAAATTACATACTTGTATGATAAAAAAAATTTCGACAGAAAAAGAAGTTATGCCTTGAGTGGGAATTGAACCCCAAGATTGTCGAGGCAAAAAACTCGCTCACCGGCGTAACCAACTAGGCTACCGAAACTCTGTCCTTGTAGTGATTAAATGTAACATATGTTAATAACAAAGCTTCAAGGCTCAAGTGAAAGTAAAACTTGGCTGACGTTGGAGTAACGAAGAATAAACGGTATTTTTTTTAAAAGTTGAAGTTTTTATGCTAATTCATAAATGTTTAAGGGGTTGGGTAATAAAATTGTCGTTGCGCAGTTGCAAACGATTCTGTTTCTTTTCATGAATATATGTACGTAAGGGGAAAATATTATGGACCAATTATATATTATTGAACGAATACATAATAAATTCATGTATTTGATATGCAAGCTGCGTGAGCAAAAATGGCCATGAAAATGTTTATAATAAAATTCTGTTAAAAATAACAGGAGTCGCAGGTAATCTTTGGTTTATNCCCCTCAGCTCCCCCCAGCTCCCCCCATTTCCCCCATGTATAATGTAAATATATTAGTAAAGCCTTGAATATTAAATGTGACAAGTGGTCTAATTTTCACATATAATTTTATTTGACCATAACAACAAATTTTGTTACAATTATCTTACTTACGATGTTTATTTAGATTACATACTCTTAAATGTCTTTTTAGGTGCTCTGCTTTAAGGGGTAAACGCACCATCTACCGTACACCCGTAAATTCACTTTATTTTGTTACCATGATTGTAAGACAGTTTGATACTAAATATTGCCTCAGTAAATTTTAAATTGTTATTTAGTATCTCAAGAGAGCACCGAAATTTTTTTGAGGTGTTA